GTGAGTAAGCAGGCAGCCTCCCGCGCGCCTGGAGAAGTGACGGTTGTAGGAGACAAACTGGCAGAGGTGTATGTCTCCCGTTCTAGGGGCCAGAAGTCCCCAGCCGGGGGAGGGGGGCAGGCGCCCCCGGGCCTCTCCTGCTTGGGGCACATTCTGAGGCGCTGGGAGTGGGCCTTCCTTCCCTGTTTTCTGTGGAGGGGACACAGGGTGAAGGACCACACCGTCCTGGGGAACAAGCCCACGAGGAAGAGCCTTTGGATTAAAAACAGGAGGCAACGCTGTTTGGAAAAAGGAAGCTTTCCCCACCTTTTCTTCCCCTTCTCGAGGAGCCCAGGCCCTCAGGGAGCAATCACCTGTGATGCTCTTAACTGACAACCAAAGACCAAGTTCAGCTGCTGGATTTAAAACTCTAGGCTAAGCTAAGAATTGGGTTCGGAGCACCTGAGTATTTGACACCCTCCCTACCCACCCATCCCTCTCCATCCGAAAATCCTTTAGAATCCCTGTCACAAAGGATTGGGGTTACTAAGATGAAACAGAGACAGTGTCCCCAGAGAACTTTGTGTCCCCGGAAGCAAACACTAGATCTCCTTGAGGAGCAGGTGGACTCTAACATCAGGGCTATGGTTTTCAACAACCAACCGAGCAAATGCAGGTACCTGTGTACGGATCTGAGGAAACACAGGTTCCTTATGAGAAGCCCTTGGGCAGAGCTTTCCCATGCGTGCGGACTTCTAAGAGGACTTTGAAGTCTGTTTCTAGTTCTTTAAGGTGTAATGTGCGGATGCTCTCTCCTCGGACACGGGAAACGCTGAGGTGACCTTTCAAGTGACCAGTTGGCATGTTGACTTTTTTCTGGAGGCCAGCTTCCAAGGCCAGGTGACAGAGCCTCAGGACTGGCTGACTGGTCGGTCACATGGGGGGCTCTCAGATGCCCCCGGCCAGGCTCACACACCTCTGGGGCCACAAGAACTGGGAGCCGGGAAGCAACACATTAGGAGCCATGCAGACGTGATTCGAAGGGTTCTGTCAAGCCCACTCTGCCCTCCTCACCTTGGAATGTTTCTCAGGGCTTATCTGTCCACGCGCCCCCGCCCTCCTTGCGTCTTGGCAGCTAACGCGAGTGATGCAAAATCGGGGAGCGATCGAGGCCCATG